AACATATGATTACCTGTCTGCGACCATCCTACAGACCTGGCCCCGATGGGATCTCTTCTGCTTTAGTCAAACACGGTGGAGACTATATCCCTCTTATATTATTAAGTGTCTTCTCTTTGTCTCTCCAGTCTGGTCAATATCCCGAACATTGTAAAACGGATACGGCCGTTCCGAGGTATAAGTCCGGATTGAATATTGACATCCGGAACTACCGCCACATTAGCCACACTACCATTCTCTCACGCATGCTAGAGAGAATTGTTAAGGAACATTTGGTTTCATTCCTAATATCGCACAAACTTCTCTCGCTTTCACAGCATACCTTTCTGAAGTCCCGCTCGTGTGTTACGTGCCAAGTTGACTTCCTTAACCATCTAAATGTAGCAACCGACTCAGGTCTTCAGTGCATTGTCATCTTCCTTGACATGCAAAAGCGTTTGACAGAGTCCCACACAAGAGGCTGCTATATAAATTAAGTAGGTACGGTTTGACAAATCCTCTTCACTCCTGGCTCCTACCATACCTAGTAGGACGGTCGCAAGTTTTAGCTATGAATGGTAACACCTCTTCAGCCCGTCTGGTCACCAGTGGAGTGGTACAGGGCAGTGTCTTAGGTCCGTTACTCTTCATACTGTATATAAATGACCATTTTTGCTGTTATAAAATTTTGGAGGCCTTATTTATTTGCTGATGAGCTAAAGGTGGTTTACACATTCTCAGGTTTTCAGCATTCTGCTGAATTAAACAATATCCAAAGCGACTTGAAAGCCATTGAGAGATGGGTTGATATATAGCAGATGTCGTTTGCAACATCAAAGTGTAGTATTCTGGCGTATGGATGCCAAATAGCAGCAGAATTGTTCAGGCTTCACGACGGTCATTCCTATCAGCCAGTCTGTTCGTGACTTGGGTTTGAGATAGTCTAATTCGTTAAACTTTAGCGAACATACAAATCATATCATGAAAAAGGCTAAGCAGTCGGTCGGGCTTAAACGCCACCTGCTAAGCTTGAAAGAAACCAGGCTAATTGCTTTCAAGATCAGTATTAGGCCTTCGCTTGAATACTGTTGTGTTAAGTTCAGTAACTTGCGAAAGTGTTACTTGATAGCCATTGGATACATTCAGCGCGCCTTCACGAAGCGTATATTGGGTTATTCAACCGCTCTTTCATACAGAGATAGGTGCAAGGAGCTGAATCTTGAGCCTCTGTGGTTACGAAGAATGCAACAAAATTTGTGCTTCCTCCACAAACTCACGTGGCGGAACGCATATGTTGGAACCTAACAATTGCACTTTAGGGCTAATACCATTTATGAACTGCGTGGTAGTGAATGTATTCACTTTACCTAAATTCAAGAAATCTGAATTTATTGCATTCGGTCGCAGAAACGCGATCGTCCTTGTAAGGTCTTCACCTTTCCACACAATCAAAAGAAGCAAGCAGGACGTTTTGTAAATACACTCAAAAGACCCTTGCTAAAATGAAGGGTGAAGCTAGATTTTCGGCGATTCTTGACACATTTTTTACGTATCGGACATCTTCGAATCCGCAGACACCGAACTCACCATCTTCGGCTGAAACACTGTATCAAAGTAAAATCTGTGTGCAGCATGATACCCTCAGACCCAGGAAGGAACATTTACTGTCCTGCAACTTTCAGATGGAATATCAATTCAACATTCGACACGTTGCTCGAAAGCGAGCCTTTCATGTTGGTCAACAACTTCTGGCAAGAGATTATCGCATCCACTATCTCAAATGGGCTATGGCCATGTGCTATACAAAGGTGGTAACGTGATCTACGGTCTCCAGGTGGGGACGGCGATTTGGGTGAGACATGCCAATCAGCTACTAGAGGCAGGGCGTGGCAAACAACTGCAACAACAAGCACCAGCAGCGTAATTACCTCTGAACATACTGGCGGACGCAGATGAAGCGAAACTCCCCAACATGTTCCAACACATCAACCACCTGATTGGCATCGAAACCTGGCAGCACAGAGGCCGAAGCGGCGACGCAAATTCGTGGCAGCTATACAAGTCAACTCCAAGCTGAAATCATACAACACAACTCGAAGGGGGTGTTAGGAAGGAATACGCTAAGCGAACAACTGAGGTGCCCATCGCCGTTACGGAGTCAAGACATGGCAGGCGAGCCAAACTCACCAGCACTGATTGGGGCAAACAGATAGCCAACCGCGTGAAGCGGCCACTTAACGCGGGGGTGGAATTGATTGATTGGCCGTAAGTTGATCCTTCTGGAGTTTTCCACGTGAGCTTTAAATACCATGCACGAACTTTCGATCTTACCTTTATAATGAACGGTGTGGTTGGTTACTACATCGCTGTTTCTCTGCTCATTCGATTCGGTCTTCTCTCTCTCCTGTGGGAGGCAAGCGACCTCGTTCCGTTTGAGAATCAACCATCAATTCAGGCGAGGGACGACCACTTCAATAATAATGTGTACTTTCTCTTGCGAAACCGTGTTCACAAAGGGACGGATAGTATTCCCATGTGCAACATGCTCACGCATGCAGCGTTGTCAATGTTTTGGGGTTATGTCGGGATGCAATAGGTACGTTTGGGAAGCTTTTCCGTTGTGTTCACTGACGTTTCCTATCAAAACAGGAGCATTCGCAGCTTTTGATTCCGGTGCAGTTTAAGGATATTATGGAGGCGGCGGGCTCACGGAATTGGAAGAAAGGTGAAAAGGAGATAAAGCAATTGGAGTCATCAACCAAAATCAGGCGAGTAGCACACGCTCGTGCATATTAGCCTAGAGTAATACAATTCAAGTTATCTGTACTTGGTGCGGTTTTACTCATATGCGAAAGGAGAGAGAACACTAGGATTAATACATCAATGTAGCGGCATATAAATCTTCAGGGCTTCAACATTGTTAGCCGAGTAATGTAAGGTAGCAAGCACACAGGGGCGAGTAATGCAGAATGAAGTGCCTGAGCACTGCTAGATCTAGCTATCGAACAGACCTGATCAAACAAGCTGCATTGTGTGTTACGGAGTTGTGCGACTAAGTGGACTCAGATACTATCCTTTCAGCTTTCACTTGTAGGTGAAGATTTATGGCTTATTCAGCCGTGCTACGGAAGACTTGATGCATAGAAAAATATAGAAATACATTAAGGAATGAACGCGAAAGTTGAAAACGGAGGGGATATGAGATTCCGTGAGGCGTACCCTCAAGATATCATCAACATTGTATGGAGCTCATCGAGCCTGATCGATTGAGTGTATGCAGGCTGGAATGTGCGAACATTTGGAGACTGCAGCAAGAATTACTAAGGCGATAAATAGTCCGACGCAACCCGGTTTGTCAGATGTTTTGAGACAAGGTTTGAAAAGTAAGCGTAAAAAGTAAAAGGTTTTAAAAACATACGTAAGCATATCTGAATTACAACATTTTCTCCAATAAAAAATACGCAGACCATACCCCAGAAAAAGTTAAATGCATTTAAGATATCAACCAACGCTGTCTTCCTATTTCATCTAATTACCAGATACAAACGCAAGCTAAATTCTCCCCGAATCCATCAGTTGCACTGAGGAATAGCTTAATAGTGGAAATCAAGATGTTAACTTGGGAACTGCATACACAGGACTGTCATATTGAGCAATATCTTCGGATGCAACCACTTAATTGTGTGAAGCAACGTAGTTACGAAGCGGCTAACATTGTTACAGAATTGAACAGCCCCTGAGAAGACAGTCTCGCGCGACCGTGAGAGAAATCCTAGCTCTGTTATGAATAGTCGCTCCCATAAACCAGACACCAGCGCACTCCAAAACAAACGGCTTACACCTGACCTGGATCACGGTTAATATCGATGCGCACGACGATGCTGACGATAAGCACTGCTGAAGGTGTAACGTTTAATGCAATATCAGTAGACAATGCCGACTTTAATCTAATTATCATTAAGACCGATAACGCGCCCCGGAAAGTTGGCTTGTTACGTTAGTATAAACGATACTGAAGCACAACTTCAGCAAATCGCTCGCCTAGCCTTCACCAGATCTATCCAGTAACCATGCGTCTAACACTTGACACATGATGCCAAACGCCCCGTCCTTCTCTTTGACCACTCCCCGGATAAAGGTTTCGCGTCAATCACGATATCGTGTCAACCACACTGTTTTCATGCTCTACTGTAATCCAATTGATTATCGTTGTAAACTAACCACAGTTTCTCGACTGTAGAGTTTATCTTTTTTCGTCAGTTGCCAGCCCCGTAAGTAATATAATAGTTACCCATTATCACAGCCCAACTTAACCTGATGGTTTGTGAACAAGAACGCCAGTAAAGGGTATAGACACATATATCAGTGAAAGCACAAACGTTTATAAATCCATGAGGTGTATAGCACGAGCATACTTCGCTCTTACATGTTCTACCATCTGTTTACAATGGTGTTGGGACACGCAGGCTCGTGCTTCTGATACAATATGTTCCAGGAACTGGATCCTCCATTCCGTTTTGCTCAGCACACCAGATGGATCCCCTCGAAGCATTTCGGAGTATCGCTGCTTCATGGCTTTCTTCACATAGGACTTGATGACACTCCATATACCTTCAATTGGGTTCAGTGCAGGCGAATACGGTGCGTTTCGGATGAGTAATGCGCTTCCTGAAACGCGTTCCAGATCAGTGTGGCACGGTGCGTTGTCACATATAAGCAGGCACTTGTTAGTAACAGCTGCGCCGTTGGCATCAAGCATTTGACACAACCACCGACTGCAACACATCCAAGTTGCCGTGCGTCCGTCGTCCACTTCGATTGGCCAGTCCACGTTACACTGTATAAAGTGACCTGACCACGGTTGACGCCCAGTGGGTTGGTTTGGAACTACGTCTGTTTTGGGACGAGTCTCTGTGTTCTTTTTTGACTTTCGTGGGCCTTTTGGAACGAGGATACTGCAGGTTGGTAATCATACGTATAACAAGTTAACGTTTAGTTTAACCTACGGGCTATGGTAAGAGAAGGCAGACAAATGCGCCATTCGGCAGAAGTGAAAGCCAGAATACTGAGTACCTATGAAGTAGGTGATGATTGGAAGCAGGTTGCATCTGTTTTACAAGTAAACCTGAAAACCTGCCGAACTTGGATAAGAAGATTGGAATCGCACGAACATAGAGGAAAACATGGCGGTGCACGTCGAAAGTCACTGACTGAGAGTCACGTAGATTGTCTAGTGGAATGGGTTGAATCGGAACCTACGGTTACATTAGAAACTCTTCGTTTCCGGTTGAAGGTGGAATTCGAAGTGGAGGTGTGCATCAGTACCGTGGCTCGATACTTAGACGGTCGGTTCATAACCATGAAAAAGCTGCATTCAATACCGGAGTCCATGAATACGCTTGAGAACAAGAAGCGAAGGAAATCGTACGTCCTGCGACTGATGAATCTGGAAGCCGAAGGTTACAAAGCAGTTTGGTTTGATGAAACGAACTTCAACCTGTTTTGTGCTCGCACAAGGGGCCGTTCAGCACGTGGCTGCCGTGCGCAGTGTACGGTCGCGAGTGCTCGTGGCCAAAATCTACATCTTGTCAGTGCGATGACTGCAGACGGACTTCTGGGGTACTCTGTACTAAGAGGCAGTTACAACAAAGAGAGATGCAGTCGGTGGTTGCGTCAAATGCTTGATGCCAACGGCGCAGCTGTTACTAACAAGTGCCTGCTTATATGTGACAACGCACCGTGCCACACTGATCTGGAACGCGTTTTCCAGGAAGCGCCTTACTCATCCGGAAAACTCCTGCGACTTGCACCGTATTCGCCTGCACTGAACCCAATTGAAGGTATATGGAGTGTCATCAAGTCCCATGTGAAGAAAGCCATGAAGCAGCGATACTCCGAAATGCTTCGAGGGGATCCATCTGGTGTGCTGAGCAAAACGGAATGGAGGATCCAGTTCCTGGAACATATTGTATCAGAAGCACGAGCCTGCGTGTCCCAACACCATTGTAAACAGATGGTAGAACATGTAAGAGCGAAGTATGCTCGTGCTATACACCTCATGGATTTATAAACTTTTGTGCTTTCACTGATATATGTGTCTATACCCTTTACTGGCGTTCTTGTTCACAAACCATCAGGTTAAGTTGGGCTGTGATAATGGGTAACTATTATATTACTTACGGGGCTGGCAACTGACGAAAAAAGATAAACTCTACAGTCGAGAAACTGTGGTTAGTTTACAACGATAATCAATTGGATTACAGTAGAGCATGAAAACAGTGTGGTTGACACGATATCGTAATTGACGCGAAACCTTTATCCGGGGAGTGGTCAAAGAGAAGGACGGGGCGTTTGGCATCATGTGTCAAGTGTTAGACGCATGGTTACCGGATAGATCTGGTGAAGGCTAGGCGAGCGATTTGCTGAAGTTGTGCTTCAGTATCGTTTATACTAACGTAACAAGCCAACTTTCCGGGGCGCGTTATCGGTCTTAATGATAATTAGATTAAAGTCGGCATTGTCTACTGATATTGCATTAAACGTTACACCTTCAGCAGTGCTTATCGTCAGCATCGTCGTGCGCATCGATATCAACCGTGATCCAGGTCAGGTGTAAGCCGTTTGTTTTGGAGTGCGCTGGTGTCTGGTTTATGGGAGCGACTATTCATAACAGAGCTAGGATTTCTCTCACGGTCGCGCGAGACTGTCTTCTCAGGGGCTGTTCAATTCTGTAACAATGTTAGCCGCTTCGTAACTACGTTGCTTCACACAATTAAGTGGTTGCATCCGAAGATATACCAGGCTCGTTTTGCGGTTAGTCTACGTAAACCAAAATGGTCTGGTCAATATCTATGTTTTACCAGTTCCATACTGATGGGCCACAAGCGTATCCTGGTGAAAACCTAATCCACGCTTATTACGGTTCGCGTAAGCCGTGACGACAAGCCAGCTAAGACCTGCCCTGTGAGTGCAGAAACAGTCAGTTTTTGACCTACGGATACCCCGGTCCTAGGACGATTGCCGCCGTTCATCTCACGGCATTTCACTGATTGGGAACACCCTTGGGACTGTATAAGATAATTACTAGTTATTGTATTGGTACTGATGAGACAATATAAAATGCGTGCATTTATCAGTGATCGTCTTCTCATTATGTTATTCAAACTATTGGAGGGAACTAACTGTTATAAAAAAAACAGTTTATTTCTCGGCGGTGCGAGAGACTGTGACGGCATAGGGACAAATCAATGCTGACATGAATTCCCTGAGGCCGGTCACATATGCAATTGTAGTGTCCCACTGACGCAAACCGAACTTTGGCGAAGTATGTGAATGGATGGTGTGTATCCGTCCACACGTGAGTTACACTGTGCGGCCAAATACAGCAACACGTAATGCCCCAGTTAAAACGCTCGCATGTGTTCACCTGTGGCCACGGTACGCTATGCTACGTAAGGACAGGCTCTCAGGGCTTGTAGCAAGTGTCCATTCAGTTGCACACGTGGCCACTAGCTCTTTTCGCTACTTAGCCCCTGCTTCAGTCGAGTGGTGGATCAGGTGTCTGTCGCCACCGTGACTGTGCGGTCAACCATTGCTGACCCCGCACGTACGTCCGGTCTGTGGCTACGGAGTACGAGGCTTGCATGCATGACTTGCCGTCCGGTTAGATCAACCCGCCTCAGCTTCGATAGCTACACCTCATCCAGTCTGTTCATATAACCATTGGCTTTTGCGATGCACACTGGATCAGCGATCAAAACTCCGAGGGTTGACCGTAACTCCCGCCTAATTTCCACGACAATATCCGGGTAAATAACATGCACTCGAGGTAAACCTACATCCCAATTTAGGCGAAATAGCCCCGCATTTAAAGTTGCTGTCCCGCTTTCTTAAAAATGCTGGGTGGGATGTACTAATGTACCGATTTGAGGACGTAAACCTCAGAGTATCCCGCTTTGAGCATGTATAATGTAGGTGGAATAGCCAGAACCAAACAGTGACGGTGCAGGCACACCATAAGGTAGGGAAGCAGAAAGCAGTGATTGCCCGGAAGACAAAAAGACCAGTAAAAAGGGGGCGGACGGAAACGGGAACTGGCACAATCAGGGAGAGCAGGCGGAGCAACATTGGCTTAACGGAACGAGAGGAGAAGGGGCATGAGTGACGTCCGTTATTGTAACATCCCGGACCAACAACAATATGTCTTTGAAAATCTCTACCCTGAGCTGTGACCCTTCTTTCTACACAACATCTGTCATTCTCCACGCTACTGTACTTTTGAGGAACAAAATATTTCAGCACTGGGAGTGTCGTCTGCAATGCCCTAACTTCTGCAGAATTGCAGGGACAATAGCAGAAACAGGGTTGTTCCAAACGAGGTAAATATTCGAATTGGCCAACTCGAACAAGCGGGTCTTGTCATCAAACAGTTTGAGGAATAGTATCACCAGTTTCGACGACAATTGCGTCGATTATCTATAGGAAAGAATGAACCGATTTGAATAACTGAATGGCTTTAATTATATGGCATTGAACCAACCACCGTACTGGGAGAAAGTTGAAGCAAGCGTCAGTCTTTTTGGATTTACACACCCAGCCCCAGAAATCAAAGACAACTAGCTGGTTGATGAAAACATGTGTAGGTTTGCATCGGCGGACAACAGTTTCGATTAGAACTGTAAACAAACATAGGTTGATGTGCTGTAGGTAGAAGTATTTTTCCCCATTTCCAGACCAACTCGGTCCCATAGGAAGAAGTACGAAAAGTATCTAATTTGTTTTCCGCCTCCCTGGGACTAATGCACTTACTGAATGAATCATCTCACAAATTATCCCTGTGTGGCTAATGGAACAATGTTTCTATACGGATAAAAAACTAATGCTTAACAGGTCCCGTACGAAGGTAATAGTGAAAATTCGAAACATAAAAGATGGTTAGCAAAAGAGGGTTTACACAGTGAACTCACTGAAGTATACCTAGTATATACTGTAAATCCAAGGTAAATCCATGCGGAACGACGGCAAAGTGGATATTGGTAAACATCGTGTCTCCTTCTGGTGTACACATGCAGGAGTTGAAAAACTTGAAACGAAATGTAGGCTTTGAACGCCAGTGAAAACTGTTACAGACACTTGTGTTTATCCATGGGTAATGGGTCATGTAAGATGGTGCAGCAAAATGACTGCAAGATCAACCCTAGATTTGAACTCTGCCAGCGTGGGAGTACATATGACAGATTCCAGTAGGGCATTCCACGTTCTGCAAACTCGTACGGAAAAGCAATTCGGACGGTATTCTAAACGAGTTTGCTACTGTGCCAGCTTGATATAGGGGCCTCTCAAATTGCGCTTAGTGAATGAGCTCTAGCAAATGGCGGCACCTGTGGTTGGGAGCTCTCAAAATATGGTAAGCCAAAATGAGATTTCCGCACAATCGCCGATATTGTCCGCTGAAGACCCCAAGCACTCGAATCCTTCGTGCATACGGCAAATTATACAGACCCTTGACGTCTCTGGTTGCATGGCGTTGAGATATCTCCACCACGGTGATATCTCTCCTCATCCATGGCTGCCGAAACTGTACTACGTATTCCACAGGTGGTGGTATGTATGAGCCGAGAAATTGTGGAAAAATCGAAGGGTCGATTCGTCCGAGTGCATGGTTCAGGAGGCCCACGTGTTGGACGCCCCTCCTTTAGGCCGCCTCAGTCTGATTCGAACATCCAAGGTCAACCTGGATAAAACTCCCACATCCTTCTTCCCAGAAGACGTTTGCAGCTTTGGTTGCCGATTTTGTGAGAATGAACCAACTTGTGCCTCAGACGCAGCACTATACATTTTTCCAAACTGAATCGAAGTAGATTCTGGACAACGCAGTTTAGCGGTTAAACACTGAAAGCAATACTTGTGGTGAAATGCAGTTCTGAAGAAAAGAGTGTCGTGTATCCTTGCGAACAACTTCACGACATGCTAATGCAGCGCCCAGACCTATGCTCATGAAATCATGGATTACAACATGGCGAAATCATGCCGACCGTTGGCTATTGCCACCATAGTAATAAACTTAATTTTTTCACAAACCAGCGCCATAATGTTCTGGGATCCCACTATTAATCCACGAACTTCTTAAGTGAGTAAACGACGAAAATTTTGGTTGTACTTTATTCTAACCACACCTTTTACTGTTCCAAAGCAGCTATGTTTGTAGGTATATTTAGTCGTGCCTTCACTTGTATGCCTCCTTCTAGCGGGAATATGCCATTTATTTATTTATTTAAAACTTCAGTAGCGTAGCCATTGTACTGACTAATAACGCAAGTGCTTTTTATAATTGCATTGAAGCAAGAAATGTAGATATGTATCTTTTCAATATATTGTACGATCAACATATGCAGAAACAAACGGGGGTAGGTTAAATGTCTCGGTTTGCCGTGCAAGAAATCTGGAAGCGTCTCGGTTTGGCTCATCAATAATCTGGCCACCTTACATGCACCGTACCTAACAGGTGCGTCACCACCGCTGAATCTCACAGTAGAGCATTAGACGTCGCCGTGAAATGCGCCTCAGGTGTTCCAGCAGCGTTGTGTGCAGTTCGCTCGCGGTATCTCATATACACACATATTCACAGTTATTGTGAATACATTTGTGAACACCGTTAGTCATCTTATCTACGAAAAGTGTGTATTTCAGATACACCATTGTTGAACAGATCCCGAGTTTTATTCCTTGGTTAGTGCCGTCGGAAAGGAAAAGGTAGTTCCTTCTACCTATAATATTCTTATCGTCCCAATCCATTCCGCTGTATATCTTCAATGTGATTTCAGCATATTGTGAAACGTGGCTTTCACTACCGGTTTCGGGTGTCCACTATCCAGGAATTACCTTACTGTCTACTTCCTTCTCTGTGCACATGGCCTTATCTGTGAAACACAGAGATCGGAATTGTAGTACTGTGTCCCATCTGTGTCCGTCGGTTGACGATATATCGGTTCGGAAGCTAATCATTCTTGCAAACTGAGCAGTCAAGGAATGGCGATGTGCTACTCTATGGTGGGCGATTTCCGATTCCTCACAAACTAGCTTTTCTTATCCACTTTTGTGTTCAAAATGTGCCATCCACTTGATACCAACAACTTTTGGCCATTTACTGGAGTTTGCCAGTACTATGTACAACATAGTGGACATTGGCGATCTAATGATAACATCATGTTCTCCAGTGCCTACTTCCGACTGAAACCC